AAGAGGAGGTTAGTGGAGAAAAGTTTGAAAAAGTGGCCGGTGACCGCAGCTAAGCCAAGCACAGGCGCCATCTTGCCGACCGGGACTACAACAACAGACTAATATTGGCTGAATTCATGTTTGGCTGTAATCTGCCGCTCTCTTCGATTTCCCTCACTATTCTGAAAAATGTTGTAGCCAGAATGATCCAGAATTCTTTGTAGAATTCTACTGGGAACCCGTCTGGACCTGGAGCCTTCCTATTCGTCATGGATTTAAGGGCTTCCTGGAGCTCCGCTGAGGTTAGTGGCGAGTCCAGGACTGTAACTTGGCTGTCTGATAATTTAGGAAGTGTTATCCTGTCAAGAAACTCATCGATCTCATTATCTGATGGGTTTATCTGTGGTGAGTACAACGTTTGGTAAAAGTCTCTGAAGGTGTTGTTTATTCTTTCAGGGTAATTAACTATATTCCCGGTTGAGTCTTTAACAGCAGATATGGTAGTTTTCTCTTTATTTGTTTTTAACTGGCTAGCTAAGAATTTACCTGATTTATTACTATTTTCAAAGTTTTCTATTCTAGTCTTTGTGCTAAAATTGTGTCTTTTTGTCAATAATTCCATGAAGTTCTAATTTAGCTTTATGTAATTTGCTCATTAACTCTTCTTCTGTGGATGCCTCTAAAGACTTAATGATTTCTTCTAACTCCTGAATATGTTTGTTTTCTGTTTTTTTTCTTATGTGATGAGAAAGAGATTATTTTACCTCTCATCACTCCTTTCCTGCCTCCCAAAGAATAGATGCTGATGTTCCAGGCAGGTCATTATGTTCTAAATATAAAGCCCACTCCTTTTTAAAAAAAATCAATAAAACCTTCGTCTTTAAGCAGTGATGTATTAAACCTCCAGTTTTTGCTTGGTGGGATTGTCTTTTTATTTACCAGAGTTAAAGAAACCGGAGCATGGCCGCTGACAACTGTGGGGTGTATCTCAGTGTCTGAAATGTCAGCCAACAATGAGCTTCTGACTAGAAAATAATCCAAACGTGAGTGAGAGTGATGGACGTGTGAGAAAAAAGTATACTCTCTACGGTTAGGATGAAGAGATCGCCATGCATCACAAAGCCCATAATCACTCATGTACTGTTTAACTATGTTAGTGGATTGCCAATTGTGCTGAGTCCCAGCTGTACTGAGCCCAGTCTCTTTCTGATGGTGGAGTCGTGAACACTGACCTTAATTGAGGCAAGTGAGGCCTGCAGTTCTTTAGAATTGTCCTGGGGTCTTTTGTGACCTCTCGGATGAGTTGTTTCTGCGCTCTTGGGGTAATTTTGGTCGGCCGCCCACTCCTGGGAAGGTTCACCACTGTTCCATGTTGTTGCCATTTGTGGATAATGGCTCTCACCGTGGTTCGCTGGAGTCCCAAAGCTTTAGAAATGGCTTTATAACCTTTACCAGACCGATAGATCTCAATTACTTTTGTTCTCATTTGTTCTTGAATTTCTTTGGATCTTGGCATGATGTCTAGCTTCTGAGGTGCTTTTGGTCTACTTCTCTGTGTCAGGCAGCTCATATTTAAGTGATTTCTTGATTGAAACAGGTGTGGCAGTAATCAGGCTTGGGGGTGGCTACAGAAATTGAACTCAGGTGTGAAACACCACAGTTGGGTTATTTTTTAACAAGGGGGCAATTACTTTTTCACACAGGGCCATGTAGGTTTGGATTTTGTTCTCTCCCTAAATAATAAAAACCATCATTTCAAAACTGCATTTTGTGTTTACTTGTGTTATCTTTGACTAACGGTTAAATGTGTTTGATGATCAGAAACATTTTGTGTGACAATCATGCAAAAGAATAAGAAATCAGGAAGGAAGGAATAGTTTTTCACACCACTGTATAGGAGGCTTGTTGCTAGTTTAGATTCAGACAGAAAGAAAACAGAAAACTAATCCTGCAGAGAAAGTGTCTGGGCCATCAGCGCCCTCTGTTAGATATTCCCTAGTCAACAGTGTGTGTGTGTGCGTGCGTGTTGGTGTGTAACTCGTTACAGCTCCCTCTGTCTTTCCACTTGATCCTTGCTGCTGCTGCTTCTCTGATGGTGCCACCTTGGAGCCTTTTCATGACAGAAACACAAGATGGCTTACTTCTCTAACAGATGGTTGAGCATTTTCTTCCCAGAATGGAACTTGAGAAATAAAAAAGCACAATTAATAATAAGTTCATTTATTCGTAAGTGGGTGTGGATGGATTCCCCTCATCATCTGGGAGCTCACAGCTCCTGTTGTGTTTTACAACAAAAAATTTGGGAGGATGTCATGTTTTTTTAGCCCATTTCTGCCACTCTAATAAAAAATATTATGAAATGGGTCATAACATGAGATACTATCTTACAACTAAGTCAAAATAATAAGACACAATTATTTTAAAGTGATGTGAACGGGCTTCCAAATGTTTCCCCTCGTGAGCAGACAGTTTAACAACTGAAATGATCCATTACCAGCAGCTGTTTAGCTTCATCTAATGATAAGCCTACTTCCAGCCAGCTGAGGGGGGTCTCTGCGCCATCTTGAGTAGCTCATCAGAAACCTAATTAAAGATGAAGATCTGACCAGCTTGGTGATTGATACCTCAGGGCGGAGACGATTATCCTTTGTGTTAGAGCTGCAAAGTCAATAGTTCTGGATAAGGAAGGACTCAAAGCAATGAGAATTATATTGACTACAAGTTTGAAAGTTTCCTCAGCAGTGTTTGACACACACACACACACACACACACATACAGAAATTCACACACACACACACACACACACACACACACACACACACACACACACATGCATACAGAAATTCACACACGCACACACACACACACACATACATACAGAAATTCACACACACACACATACATACAGAAATTCACACACACACACACACACACACAAACACATACAGAAATTCACACACACACAAATACACACACACACACACATACAGAAATTCACACACACACACAAATACACACACACACACACATAAAGAAGTTCACACACAAATACACACACACACACAAATACACACACACACACACACACAAATACACACACACACAAATACACACACACACATACAGAAATTCACACACACACACATACATAAGTTCACACACATCACAAATAAATGTATGTTTATGTTTTATCATTTTCACAGCTGCATTTTGGAATTCTTAATTCCTCATATTTATCACTCTTTCACACGTATTTCAGAAATTACATTATGTTCAATCATAAAATCTAATCAGTATGTTAATGATAAATATTTATAATAAAATTTCAATAAATAACGTTAAATCCAAAGGTAAAAATTTATGTGAGCATACAAACATGTTTAAATGTTTAAGTTTAAATATAAAGAAGTTGATGGTCGGCAAGCTGTTCCCATCAAAGAGCCATTATTACCCGTTTCCCACAGTAAAGAAAACACTGGGAGCCACAGCAGCAGCGGCGTTGTGGGCGGGGCCTACCCTCAGACAGCAGAGAGCTGCTTTAACCAATCACAGCAGGTGACAGCAGCCAGTACCGGTCACTCGTGTACGTCAAAGTTATCTTTCATAAGACGATAATCAATAAAACGATTTATATAAAATGGATCCAGAAGTTGTTGCCCGTCTCTGCCTACAATATTTTGATAGTTTTCACCCTGTTGGTGGTTTTACTGAGCAGGTGCCACTTTTGTCATACGTTTCTTTTTAAAACATGTTTAGACTGTTCAGAATACAAATCCAGGCTCTGTCACGTTTGATTGTTGTAATTAAACTTTGTAGGTGGGGAAGGTCAGAAAAGGATCCGATCATTTTGTTTTTCCCTCATTCACAGTGACGGAGATAACGGCGCAGTGCGCCTGGCTCTGGTGTTAATCAAGTTTAATTATATCTCTGCAACAATTTTCACAAGAAAACAGAACAGTTAAAAGCAGGGCTTGTGTTGACCGGATAGTTACCGTATTTGACCGTTTATTCTGATGGAGAAAGAATAGAAAGAATTACCCCGACGCATGCAGACAAACTGACACTTTATTAGTTTCGCACATCGCAGATGTAGCTAAATCAGTCAAGAAATGATTCCCATCTGAACATCTGAGCTGGACACTGCTCAGCGCAGCTCACTGTCAGTGTGAACTACATAAGGTACACAGCGAGCTGAAGATGTGGAGAGGAGCTTGGAGCACGTTGCAGAACCAGAGCGCATGCGGGAAGGTTCCTCCGACTGAAGCGAGTGTTTTCCAAACCCTGTCTCTCAGAGAGACTTGTCACTTATAAAATGTTCCCTGATTATGAAACTTTGGCTGAATGGTGCTTGTTCCTGTCTCCAATATGGCGACACACCCAGGAGCCGTCTGAGGAGAAGCCTAGAATCTCACATCCTCTTCAGCTCAGAAAGCGCCTATGATTACGCACAAGCGTGACGCGTCAACCCGGTCTCACAGTAAGACCGGGTTGGACCTGTTCAGGTTTACGCAGACAATCTTTACATTTATAATTAGCTTACAGATGTAAAATAAATGCAGCAAAATATAAAGCATTTTATTTAAATATCCATTCATTATTTTACAAGCACAGAGAGCCTCATCAGATGGATAGAAGAGCCGCATGCGGCTCCAGAGCCGCGGGTTGCCGACCCCTAGCTAAAGATTTAGCCTACATGCTCATTCATGCTGTGTAACCTGGAAGTAACCTACCAAAATAAAAGCAGGTTGATGAGATTCCCTACCTACCCTGTGTGGGTGCTATCAAGCATGGATCATGGATTCATGTCTGTGTTCTCCTGCACACTGATAAATTACCCAAACAGGAACTCACAATCGTACCATCAAATAGACTCACTGACGTTAGATAGATTTCTTCATCATGCTTTTATTTTGGTAGGACAACTAAGCAACATTAATCTTTGACTGTATTACTTTAAAATGGCTGCCTCGTGCTAATTCTGGCTATTTATCACCCAACATGTGCTCCTCTGTGGTTTCCAGCTGTGAGAGACGGGATCATGAGGCTGCTGTGGAAGTCTGTGGATAAAATGAGATTCTTCAGGAAAAGGTCCACGCTCCCAGTCCTCAGCTTCCTTGTCACCTCTCTACTCTTTTTCAACCTCTACATGGATGATGGATATGTGCTGGTAAGCTTTTTTCTTTGAAATATTTGGATGCATACATGGAGCTTTTGGTTGATTTTTTTGAAAGGTTTATTTTTTTAGCAATGTTTTTGATTTATTTGGAATTTAGGATGCTGAAAAGAGACAGCTGGGTGAGATACATCCTTCAACCTCTGAGAGATATGTGCACACATTCAGAGACTTGTCCAATTTCTCTGGGAGCATAAATGTGACATATCGCTACCTCGCTGGAATTCCTTTGCCACGTAAAAGTAGGTATTTCAACTGAACAGAACAATCTAAAAATCGGACCAAACCATTGGAACAGTTTTAATGAGAAGTGATTTATTTTCCCAGAGTTCCTCACCATAGGTCTCTCATCAGTCAAGAGGAAAAGAGGAAACTACCTCCTGGAAACAATCAAGTCCATCTTTGATCAGTCCAGTTATGAGGAACTGAAAGAGATTGTGGTTGTGGTCCATCTGGCAGACTTTGACCTGGTCTGGTGTGAGAACCTGGTCCAGGAAATCTCCAGGAAGTTTGCTCACCACATCATAGCCGGACGTCTCCTGGTCATCCAGGCTCCTGAGGAGTACTATCCTTCTCTGGACGGGTTGAAAAGGAACTACAATGACCCGGAAGACAGGGTCCGTTTTCGCTCCAAGCAGAACGTAGACTACGCTTTCCTCCTGAACTTCTGCACAAACCTCTCACACTTCTACATGATGTTGGAGGACGATGTACGCTGCTCCAGGAACTTCCTGACGGCGCTGAAGAAGGTGATCACCTCCAGAGAAGGTTCCTACTGGGTAATGCTGGAGTTCTCTAAACTGGGATACATCGGGAAGCTGTACCACTCGAAGGACCTGCCCCGTCTGGCTCACTTCCTCCTCATGTTCTACCAGGAAATGCCTTGTGACTGGCTCCTCATCCACTTCAGAGGTCTGCTGGCTCAGAAGGACGTGATCCGCTTCAAACCCTCTCTGTTCCAGCACATGGGCTACTACTCCTCCTATAAAGGAGTAGAGAACAAACTGAAGGACGATGATTTTGAGGAAGACTCTATCGACATCCCTGACAACCCTCCTGCCAGCATTTACACAAACATCAACGTCTTTGAAAACTATGATGCAACCAAGGCTTACAGCAGTATTGTTGATGAGTATTTTTGGGGGAAACCACCGTGCACTGGGGACTTCTTTATCATAATCTTTAACAGATCAGCAAAAATCAGCAAAATTAAAATTGTGACGGGTACAGAGGACCGACAGAACGACATTCTTCACCACGGCGCTCTAGAAGTAGGCCAGAAGTCTGTGGAGACCAAACAGGGAAGACACTGTTCCTCCTACATCACATTAGGCGAGTTTAAAGTTGGCAGCATTGAGGTTCAGGATGTGGACCACAAGATTGGCTTTGGCATAGAGTGTGTGAGAATAGTTGTCACAGCCAATCAGAAAGAATGGCTGATCATCAGGACTATCAGCCTATGGACCACACAGCCCATTAACCAGTTAACAAAGTAACGCTGTTCCCATGTTGAGGTCCTTTCCGTATGTCCTGATTCGATGCATCAAGTTGGTTTTGGATTTTATTTGTTTGGTGAAATCAAATCGATCCATATTTTTTGGGTCGATCAGAGATCTGCTAAAAGTTTCTATGGTGATGTATTAAAAATATGCTGGTGTACATGGAGCCTTTATACTGATGTTCAATTTCTATAAAACTATTTATACAAATATTCACAATTTGTGTTGGTTGCTTTTCTTTTGTCTTAGTCTAAAAAGGTAGTTCTTCAACTTCTGGTTCATCCTATAGTCTTTAACCTCTCGTAAACTAAGAATAAGCATAAAGTTCTATTTTAAAAAATATTCATCAAAGTTAGTTAGAATATGGAACATTTTAGTAAAAAGTTAAATATTTAAAAATAATATCTTCATGGGCCTTTGGAGGTGTGAAGAACGAATGTACACTTTCTCCTTTAAAAGCTATATTTAAACAAATAATCACAATTTTATTTTGTTGGGCATGACACTGGATTTATGTTTACCTCTACCAGCCACTAGAGGACACCGTTGCTCCAAAAAGTCCGCTCTGCAAGGTGAGGCTGGGGCCGTGTAAAATTCAATTCAGTTCAAGTTTATTTATATAGCGCCAAATCACGACAAGAGTCGTCTCAAGGCACTTCACATAATAAACATTCCAATTCAGGTCAGTTCATTAAGCCAATCAGAAACAATGTTTCCTATATAAGGAACCCAGCAGGTTGCATCGAGTCACTGACTAGTGTCAGTGACTATACAGCAATCCTCATACTAAGCAAGCATGTAGCGACAGTGGAGAGGAAAACTCCCTTTTAACAAGAAGAAACCTCCAGAGAATCCTGGCTCAGTATAAGCAGTCATCCTCCACGACTCACTGGGGATCGAGAAGACAGAGCGCGCGCACACACACACACACACACACAAGTAATGTGTCTATAGTTCTATTGTGATGTCTTAGTAAATATTCTATTTGGTGAGGGATCAACTTTATTGTATTCATCCTAGTGGATCTATAATTAAACGGGTAAACTAGTAGTAGCACATCCAACGTCAAGGAGAGTAAAAAGTTATTATCAGGAGAGGGAGAATGTTTAAGTGGTTAGCAGCAGTGTGCTAGTCGATGGCCCCCTCCATGAGGCCACCACAGCTCAGCAGAACATCGATGTAGTAGACTTGACAAGTCAAGCAGCTGATTCTGAGCCCAGAAGATGTTCTAACAGCAAATACTGTTGTAAAATAAACTTATTAGTAGAAATTACTCCTTATCCTGTATGATTCGCCTCTGAAAATGATGCTGGGACAAGCCAGCAGTGAACCAACATCCCGACGGCTGGAAAATTAATCGTGTTGTTGCAATACCACCTCTGAACACCACAGTGTCCGTATTCCATATTCAACCTTTAAACAACTTTTATAAATTTCCCAAATATTTTATTTTGTAACAAAAAAAGCTCATTTTAAGAAGAATAATTGGCATTTTTAGTACTGAGATCTTCCACAAGGCGGACGAGGTAAGGTTCAATAGATGAAAGTACTAATAAGCAAAGCTCCTATCAGATATAGTTGGCATTATGGAGCTAAAGGTTATAGAGTAGTTGAGTTTACCCTTAGTGCTGTTTTTAAAAGTATTTATTTTACACCTGACACTGAAGAAACTAAAAACTGGAAGGCTTCAGATGAGGTTTTGATGGCTGTAAGGACCGACTCTGTGGGTCGGTTCCTGTGCATGGGCATGAAGTTAATGGAGCAACACTGAAAGATGTCCAGAGGTGTAATCACAGAAATAATAGTGAAGAAAACAATATTACAATACCAAATAAACAGATTTCTTATTCATCTTGTGTTGTATTCAGGTCCAGATTATTATGTAAATAAAGATTATATCATGTTGTAATGTTTTCATTCAGTTGAAGGGCACTCACTTATTGCTTCAGTTGTCTTTAACTGCCCTCTGTTGGTCAAATTATAAACACACACTTTTCACGTTTTAATTATCATCGACCCAACCTTACACTTTACAATATAACATAGTAATATAACAAAATTAGAAAAATATACCTGAAGAATTTTTAAAAGGACCCTGCCCACTGGCACAAGCCCAAAATCATAATACTGGGGTTGTGTTGGGGAGACCACCCAAAAATCATGTTATTAGGGTGACATAAGGTGATCACCCAAAAATAAGACACCAGCGATCTTAATAAAAAGATGGAGAGTTGTCGCTTCATGAAATAGGAACCAGACGAGAAGATCTCTAAGCACCTGGAGGTCAGCTGGAAGAGAAATCTTCTCTCTGTGAAAAATCAAGTTTTCATAAAGAAATGCAGCTGAGACTGAGCCGTGAGGTGGAACTCAGCAACAACAGAGCTCTTATCTATGAAAATTCGGATCCCCAGGAGAAGATCCAGGATTTAAAGCAGATGCACTCTGAACTCAGAGAGGTGACTAACAAACACCTCTCTGAGAAGCTGGAGTTTGACCAACAGTTCGCCCAGGAGCTCCAGAAACGTGACAAGCAGCTTGGAGAAGAGCAGGACAGGAGACTGAGTTTAGAGTCTGAGCTTCTCCAGAGCCAGGAGACAGCCAGACTCAACGATGATCATCCTTCCCACTCATGTTTGTTTAGGCAGAGTAAAACCATTAGCTGACATTTCTAGAGTACATTAGTGGCATCTGCTCTCTGTTGCATTACCGATGAGCCTCTCCTGTCGGACTACTCATGAACCAGAACATTCCAGAAGAAATTTTAAAATATTTATGAAAAATTTTGAGAGGCACATACTCAAAATGAAACATTTTTCCAATTTTTTGCTAATAATTTCACCACGTTAACCCGGATCACTTACAAAAGTAATAGCGCATCTCCCACAACTGAGCCAGTCATTTTGATGCATGAGTGATGGGGGTGCACACTGGAGCTGCATTAATGTCCAAACAAATCCTCTGGTGCATAACAAGAAGTGCATGTCCCTGGCAGAGCAGCAGGGCCCTTAATTAATATGATATTGGATCATATCGTATAATGAAGCGCTCTGACGGACTCTGGAAACATCCTTAGAGTTAGCATTTTTATGTTAAATAGAAATTCTAACATTACTTAATGTTGTTTATACACATTTTTTCCACATGTTTTGATCTTTAAACATGTTTTTTCTACAATCATTCACAGATCTCCTTTAGGTGAGAGGAGAAAAATATAAATCTCCTCTGAGTTAAAGTTTTATTTAATTGAAATAATCCAACCAAAACTAGTAAATTATCACTTTTATAAAAGTTTTGTTCCAACAAGAATAATAATCAGTGCTCCTTTAGAACATTTGCATGAGAACCAAACTGCGGTAACAAGGAACACTACTGTTTAACCCTTTGATGCATAATGGTCACTACAGTGGACAGGTACTCAAAATTGTTATTTATTTATTTTTGCTATTAAGCACAGCTGTTGAAGACTTTATTGCATGTGAGCCCCTCCCTTTGGACTTCAGTAAGGCAATCCAACATATTTCATGTTCAGAATGCACGCTGTCCACTGAGGTGGACATGTAATAAATTATTTGTAAATTAACAAAATGTCACAAAAAATATTTGTTGAAATTTGTTTCATTCACACCTAAAGATGAATGAAAAAAATTGTTTAAAAAATCATGGTTGAAGATTTCATAATTCATGCATCAGAGGGTTAATAATCTTGTCTGTTTATTGTTGGGTGCGACTTTTGCTGACGTCATTAGCCGGCGCCGCTGTTTGTAGCAACTGAAGCTAACGGGGAAGGCTAATAAAGGAGTTTGGCCTCAGCTCCTTTTTCTGGAGTTAAAAGCGAGGTGAGTTCGAGCTTGTGGCTTTCTCAGAAAATAACAAGTTAGCTTCATTTTTAGAGTTTGGGAGATTTCCCCCATTGCATGTTGACTGGTAAAGGTGCGCTTAAAGCACCTACGCGCGTCTGTAAAACAGTGAATTTAATCTGGATTATTCCTTAAATAAAGAAATTGTCAACAAACATTATAATCTCTGATATTTACCGCTTACTTTGTCGGGTCGTACGTGATGTAGATTTAGCCTTTTTAAATGGCTGAAATAAAAAAACTGCCGTAGTTTATTCAATCAACATTTTTATATTGTAAACGGAAAACTTGGTTATGTCTGTTTTACTGTAAGCAAGTCAGAATGAACGCGGTACCTTTTTGAACAGTGCTCACTTTAGTCAAACAGTCCTGCTCTGGACTCAGCTCCAGTTTCTGTTTTACTCTAGCACCAGTAGGTCCAAAATAGATTTAATCAGAATCAGAATAGGTTTATTGCCATTGTCAGTGAACAAACAATTCACAAACTAAGAACTTGCTTCGGTACTAACGTGCTACATATAACATGAATAATAAGATTAAAAATAGAATAAAATATAATTAAAAAAAACTAGAATAAAACTTTCAGCTATAAAAAAAGGCAGGTAATGGTAACATGGCCGATAACGTGACGCTTTGTCGAGTACAGAAGACCAGCATGGTTGTGTGTTTATAATCTATTCACAAGTCTAACGGCAGATGGAAAGAAGCTGTTCCTATGGCGAGAGGTTCTGGTCCGGATGGACCGTAACCTCCTGCCTGAGGGAAGCGGCTCAAAAAGTCTGTGACCTGGGTGAGAAGGGTCAGCTGCTATCCGACCTGCACGCCCCCGAGTTCTGGAGACGTACAGGTCATGGAGAGATGGAAGGCTGCAGCCAATCACCTTCTCAGCAGAGCGCACAATGCACTGCAGTCTATGTTTGTCCCTCACTGTGGCTCCAGCGTACCACACAGCGATGGAGGAGGTGAGGATGGACTCAATGATGGCCGAGTAAAACTGCACCATCATCTGGGTCGGCAGCTTGGCCTTTTTCAACTGCCGCAGAAAGTACATCTTCTGCTGGGCCTTTTTGAGCAGGGAGCTGATGGATGGCTCCCACCTAAGGTCATGTGTGATGGTGGTTCCGAGGAAGCGGAAGGAGTCCACAGTGGTGACGGCGGTGTCCGTCAGGACGAGGGGGAGAGACGGGGCTGTGACTTTCCTGAAGTCCACAATCATCTCTACTGTCTTCTGAGCATTGAGCTCCAGGTTGTTGCTGCTGCACCAGTACACCAGCCGTTCCACCTCCCTCCTGTAGGCGGACTCATCACCGTCAGAGATGAGCCCGATGAGGGTGGTGTCATCCGCAAACTTGATCAGTTTAACGGAGTCATGGCTCGAGGTGCAGCAGTTTGTGTTCAGGGAGAAGAGCAGAGGAGAAAGTACACAGCCCCGTGGAGATCCTGTGCTAATAGTCTTAGTGGTGGAAACATTCTTCCCCAGCCGCACGCACTGCCTACGGTCTGTCAGGAAGTCAGTGATCCACCTGCAGGTGGAGTTGCTGACAGAATATTTAACAGAAATAAAGCATTCATTTATGCGTAATTCCAGAGTCTAGGGTTTAGAAATGCTTAAATTAAAAATATGTTCACACACACACGTACGTCCTGTGGATATATGTTTTTGTGTAATTATTTATTTTTCAGTCTATAAATTAGAAATGTGACCCCAGCAGCTGGAGCAGCCGTAATCATGAACCACACCCTTCTCTAATAACAGCCTTATCGAGCTGAAATGTTTACACGTGTGCTCTTTAACTTCTTACAGAACAATGAACTCTTTTCGTTTTAGTGTTGTTATGACCACGTTGAGCCAGATTAGTCCAATACCATCAATACTCACCCTTCCAAAGTAGCTGCAGCTGATTTCTGGAACTAGGATTTCCACCTGGCTCCATGGAGCTGCATGATGTGTTCCTTTCTGCTTCTGCCACTTTCTAAGTTCTGCTCTTTTCAGGATGGGCCAGCAGATCTCAGGTCAGGCGGTGATGAACCATCTGCCTGAGAAGCTGGTGAAACATGTTGGGCTGGTCCGTGAAAGTGGCTACCTCACCTACGAGGAGTTTCTGGGAAGAGTGGCTGAACTCAATGATGTGTAAGTTGTGTTAAAGATGCAGAGCTGTTTAATGTGTGCTGGCTTCCGTCTGCCCGTTATTCCCCCCGGCAGTTTAAACCCAGCCCTCCAGCTCTCAGACATCTCGTCTCGTCTTCCTCCGCTTATCCGGGTCCGGGTCGCGGGGGCAGCATCCCAACTAGGGAGCTCCAGGCCGTCCTCTCCCCGGCCTTGTCCACCAGCTCCTCCGGCAGGACCCCAAGGCGTTCCCGGACCAGATTGGAGATGTAACCTCTCCAACGTGTCCTGGGTCGACCCGGGGGCCTTCTGCCGGCAGGACATGCCCGAAACACCTCCCCGGGGAGGCGTCCAGGAGGCATCCTGACCAGATGCCCAAACCACCTCAACTGGCTCCTTTCGATCCGGAGGAGCAGCGGTTCTACTCCGAGTCCCTCCCGAATGTCCGAGCTCCTCACCCTATCTCTAAGGCTGAGCCCGGCCACCCTACGGAGGAAACTCATTTCGGCCGCTTGTATCCGCGATCTCGTTCTTTCGGTCATTACCCAAAGCTCATGACCATAGGTGAGGATTGGGACGTAGATCGACCGGTAAATCGAGAGCCTGGCTTTCTGGCTCAGCTCCCTCTTCCCCACGACAGATCGGCTCAGCGTCCGCATCACTGCAGACGCCGAACCAATCCGCCTGTCGATCTCCCGATCCCTCCTACCCTCACTCGTGAACAAGACCCCGAGATACTTAAACTCCTCCACTTGAGGTAGGACCTCTCCCCCGACCCGGAGGTGGCAAGCCACCCTTTTCCGGTCGAGAACCATGGTCTCAGATTTGGAGGTGCTGATCCTCATCCCAGCCGCTTCACATTCGGCCGCGAACCTACCCAGCAAGAGCTGAAGGTCAGAGCTGGATGAAGCTAGGAGGACCACATCATCCGCAAAAAGCAGAGACGAGATTCTCCTGCCACCAAACTCGACACACTCCACACCACGGCTGCGTCTAGAAATTCTGTCCATAAAAGTGATGAACAGAACCGGTGACAAAGGGCAGCCCTGGCGGAGTCCAACCCTCACTGGGAACAGGTCCGACTTACTACCGGCTATGCGGACCAAACTCACGCTCCTCTGGTAAAGGGACTGAATGGCCCTTAACAGAAAGCCACCCACCCCATACTCCTGGAGCGTCCCCCACAGGGTGCCCCTGGGGACACGGTCATAAGCCTTCTCCAAATCCACAAAACACATGTGGATTGGTTGGGCAAACTCCCATGCCCCCTCCATCACCCTTGCAAGGGTATAGAGCTGGTCCACAGTTCCACGGCCAGGACGAAAACCACATTGCTCCTCCTCTATCTGAGATTCAACTATCGATCGGACCCTCCTCTCCAGTACCTTGGCGTAGACCTTTCCAGGGAGGCTGAGGAGTGTGATCCCCCTATAGTTGGAACACACCCTCAGGTCACCCTTCTTAAAGATGGGGACCACCACCCCGGTCTGCCACTCCCTAGGAACTGCCCCCGATGACCACGCAATGTTGTAGAGACGTGTCAACCATGACAGCCCTACAACATCCATAGCCTTGAGATACCCAGGACGAAGCTCATCCGCCCCCGGGGCTCCGCCGCTGTGTAGTTGTTTGACTACCTCAGCAATTTCTGCCCCCGAGATCGGACAGTCCATCCCCAGGCCTCCCAGCTCTGGTTCCTCCTCGGAATGAGCATTGGTGGGATTGAGGAGCTCCTCAAAGTATTCCTTCCACCGTCCGACTATAGCCTCAGTTGACGTCAGCAGCTCCCCATCCCCACTGTAAACAGTGTGAGCGAGTTGCTGCCTTCCTCTCCTGAGGCGCCGGACAGTTTGCCAGAACCTCTTTGGAGCCGATCGATAGTCTTTCTCCATGGCCTCACCAAACTCCTCCCACGCCCGAGATTTTGCCTCGGCAACTGCCACTGCTGCACCCCGCTTGGCTATCCGGTACCTGTCTGCTGCCTCCGGAGACCCACAGACCAGCCACGCCCTGTAGGCCTCCTTCTTCAGCCTGACGGCTCCCCGAACCTCTGGTGTCCACCAGCGGGTACGGGGGTTGCCACCACGACTGGCACCGGCCACCTTACGGCCACAGCTAGCAACAGCCGCCTCGACAATCGCAGAGTGGAACAAGGCCCACTCGGACTCAATGTCCCCCACTGCTCTCGGGACGTGGTCAAAGCTCTGCCGGAGGTGGGAGTTGAAGACCGTCTTGACAGGTTCTTCTGCCAGGCGTTCCCAGCAGACCCTCACATGGAACGTCACCTCGCTGGCGGGGAAGGAGCCGGAGCTTGTGGCAGAGGTTGAGCGGTACCGGCTAGATATAGTCGGACTCACCTCGACACATTGCATTGGCTCTGGAACCCGAGACCTGGAGAGGGGTTGGACACTCTACTTTGCTGGAGTTGCTCCGGGTGAGAGGCGGAGGGCTGGGGTTGGCTTTTTGTTAGCTCCGAGACTCTCTGCCTGTGTGTTGGGGTTTACCCCGGGGGACAAGAGGGTAGCTTCCTTGCGCCTTCGGGTCGGGGAACGGGTCCTGACTGTTGTTTGTGCTTATGGGCCAAATATCAGTTCAGAGTACCCACCCTTTTTGGAGTCCCTGGGACGAGTGCTAGATAGTGCTCCATCAGGGGACTCCATTGTCCTGCTGGGGGACTTCAATGCTCACGTGGGCAATGACAGCTTGACCTGGAGGGGTGTGATTGGGAGGAACGGCCCACCTAATCTGAACTCGAGTGGTGTTTTGTTATTGGACTTCTGTGCAAGCCGCAGTTTGGCCATAACGAACACCATGTTCGAACATAAGGATGCCCACCGGTACACTTGGTACCAGGGCAGCCTAGGTCACAGGTCGATGATAGATTTTGTAGTCGTATCATCTGACCTGCGGCCGTATGTTTTGGACACCCGAGTGAAGAGAGGGGCGGAGCTGTCAACTGATCACCACCTGGTGGTGAGTTGGATCAGATGGCAAGGGAACATGCTCCTCCTTGAACCGTCCTCCTCCTTGAACCGTCACCTTATCGTGGTGGAGGAGTTTGAGTGCCCTAATGATCCTAGGAGCTATGTTGTCTGGGGCACTTAGTGCCCCTGGTAGGGTCTCCCATGACAAATTGGTCTTAGGTGAAGGGTGAGACAAAGAACGGTTCGAAGGATCTTTCATGGCGGTTAAAATGAAGAGTCGGAGTACCCGGCCCGGAGGGTTACCGGGGTCCCACCCTGGAGCCAGGCCTGGGGTTGGGGCCCGTGAGCGAGCGCCTGGTGGCCGGGCTTTCGCCCATGGGGCCCGGCCGGGCCCAGCCCGAACCGGATACATGGGCTCGTCCAACTGTGGACCCACCACCCGCAGGAGGAACATGAAGGGTCCGGTGCAATGCTCTCAGACATACAGGATAAAATAAAGGAAGTGTCACACTTCTGAAATTATATATATATATTCATGTAGAAATGATGTTTACATGTAGTAAAGACAAAATAATTAAAAACAAACCAGTTAAGGAGTGTGGATGATGAGACACACACTGTTTTATTAGGACAGAAGTTGTGTTAATGGTAACATTGAGGGTATCTGTATCGTTTTTCAGCGTTGTAGTGCTGCTGTAGTGAGCCACTGTAAACTTTTGTCTCCTCAGAACGGCCATGTTAGCAGCTGGGCAGCAGAAGCACCTGCTGTTTGAAGTGCAGCCTGGGTCAGATTCCTCCGCCCTGTGGAAGGTGGCCGTCAGAATCGTCTGCACCAAGGTGTCTACACCTCTGAGTGATGAGTAGAGCCATTTAAAATAATTTTTAGATTCTTCAGAGGTTTTTTCCCCATCAAGTTTTTTTTTCTTTCAGTTTTTAGATTAGAAAACATACCTGAAAAATGAAAAACAAAAAATATTAATATTAAGCCGGGGTTTATGTGAGGAAGGCAGAAAAATAAACAAGTTATGTTCCTGATAATTAGAGAAGTTCCCTCCTTACTGTAACGAAAGAGTAGAGGATTTGTTAAAAACTCATTCATATTTCCTAACATCCATCACGCTAGGTCGCTTGTGTTTTTTCATTTTTTTTTCATAGATCAACAAAGAGGCGGGTACGATGGAAGCATCACGGATCATGAACCTGTACCAGTTCATCCAGTTGTACCGTGACATCACCAGCCAAGCTGCTGAGGTTCTGACTGCAGATGGACCCATGAAGTACCCGTCTGCACCACTGTCCTCCACAGACTCCTGTCAGGCCAGCATGTGGATGGGGAGGTTAGTCGGGTTGGGAAAAGACACTCTCTCACACTCACACACACACACATGACAGGCTGAACAGCACAAATCAGATTTTTTTCAAATCCATGTCACTTTCATATGTGGTACTGATTGTGATCCATATCTGATGTTGTTGAAAGCTGCGGCAGTCTGAACAGTCATGTCGCAATAAATCCGCCTTCTACGTCACTGAGTCAGCGGAGGTGAGCATCGTGTGTCGACGGTCCGGGGGGGCTGCCGGAGCAAGCGTCTCACCAGTCTCTGTGATCGAGGGAGGGGGGTTGTTTCCGTGACAGCGGGGGTTCTTCGTGAATGAACGTAATATCGGAACACTTTCAGTGAATAATAATTTGGGAAGATGGCGGAAATAAGGATGGCTGGGAGCTTTCTTCAGCTGAATGAAGATAAGACTGAGATCCTCATCTGTGCCACCTTTGACCCAGCTCTCACCCTGGATTCTCATGTCAGTTCTCTTGCTGGCTCTTCCTTCTTCCATCTCAGGAACTTTGCTAAGCTGAGTCCCTTTCTGTCCCGCTCTGAACTTGAGACAGTTCTCCACACCTTCATCTCCTCACGCTTAGACTACTGTAACTCTCTTTTCACGTGTCTGAGCAGAACCTCCCTGAACCGTCTACAGGTGGTTCAGAACGCCTGTGCTCGGCTTCTGACCAAGTCCTCCAAACACACCCACATCACCCCGCTTCTCCTCCAGCTTCACTGGCTGCCAGTCAACTTCAGGGTTCATTTCAAGATCCTGGTTCTGGTCTATAGGGCCTTACATGGACAAGCACCATCTTACATTGGTGATCTTCTTAGTCCCTACACCCCCAGCAGGTCCCTGAGGTCCAGTGATCAAAGCCTACTGGTTGTGCAGCACCAGGCTAAATGTCAAAGGTGACAGATCATCTGCTGCTGTGGCCCCCAGACTCTGGACCTCTCTCCCCCTGAGCCTGAGATCAGTGGACTCAGTGGTCTCCTTCAAAAAGCAGCTGAAGACTCAGCTGTTAGGCTGCTTTTTGTGTGACCTTCTTCACCCTCTCCTTGTTCTGCTCTTTCTACTTATTCCGCTTTCCCAGCGATCCACTGAATTCTCTCTTTCCTGTTCACTCTCTCTCCCTTTCCTTCCATAATTATTTTTTAATCAAAATTTGTATTTTTTTTTCTCATTTTAAACATATTTTTAAATATTTTTTATACTTGAATAGTTTTTTTTGTGAAGCACCTCTTGATTTTTATCTTGAGAAGCGCCAAGATTGTCTTCTTTCTTTCTTTATTAAAACACTTCAACGCTTTCTAAATATCTTTTTGTTCCATTTTGTTTTTGTTATATTTTTTCAGTTCCACTGCAATAAGGACAAACCGATATGTTGGTCGTTCAGTATGTCTCTAGCAGAGCTGATTTAAAGTCAGGCACATCCACGGGCAACCCGGTGCTGCAGAAGTTTTTTTAAATGTATATATTTACGTTCCTTTACAAAATCAGCTTCAAAATACTTTTAAACATTATTCAATTCAGTTTAATTTATGCATTTATAAAGCACCTTCTACCACCTTAGCGGAGGCCCAAAGTGCTGAATAGGACATAAAAAACAGAATAATAATAAAATAAATATCGAATAAAAATCAATAAAAACAAAAACAGCTTATTGTCAACTGGTGTGTATTTATTTATTTACCTGTTTTGTATGTTTAATTGTTGTTAACTTTTTTATATATTAATTGTTTTCTTAATTTATTTGATTAACTTTGGTTAAATATTAGATTTTTAGACAGAGCGGTTCACATATTTATGATTCAGGAGTTGGTTAAGTTCAGAATCTAAAAATTCAAACTCCCACAGCTAGGTGGCAGCAGTCTTACACCCTTCTTTCAAATGGAATAACTAGGTCTTATGGTCACACTGGATGTGTCTTGGAAGCAACTGGCCCGAGTTTTCATTTTCAATTTAAATTAAGACTTTAAAAATGCAAATATAGTCTTATCTTTTAGTGTTGCAGTATATTCTTATTGTCGCTCCTGCACAGTGAAGTATATTATATCGCCAGATCCTTGCAAATACACACTCCCCTAGTCTGGTTGGAAACTGTCCAGGAACAACTGCAGTGATCCGCTGACTGCCAGCAGGAACTCACTAATACACTAATAGCAAAATAATATGACGTGTCAGTAGTTGAGTCACTTTGCTGTTTTCTGTCTGCTGAAGCAACAGGTGGATTTTCAGAAGTGTATTCCCTGGATGTTCATCCATTACTGATTCACTTTCAAGTACCGATGCACCGAAATGAATATTCTTGGCCAAAACTGAAAATAAGGAAACCAAGGCCGAAAACCGAAACACTAAAATTAATTATGTCCATAGTTAGAACTATAGCATTTATGGCCATGAAAAAATATAATATTAATAAAAAAGCACTAGCTTATAACTGAAAGACTTGCTGAGAAGAACAGAAAAATTAAGTCTTTAAGCCCCAAAGTCGCAATATTGCGTTTACCGAGCCACAGCTGCTAATATAAACCCTCATAAAGTTATTACTTTACACCAGAAGATGGTGGAGATGTGTAACTTCAATCTGAAAAACACTTTTGGGTGTTTCTACTGAAATTTTTGTGGACTTTATGAAGTTTGAAAGCCGCCCCTCGCTGGGAGGCTCCCGACTGAGAAGAGGAGACGAGTGGAGCTCACAGAGTGCGAATACTATTATATATTAGAGAAGAGAAACTTACGATGCTGACAAGTCTGTTTATTGTTGACAACACTCTTTATCTGGTAATGGCTGACTCTGAATCTGAAGAGTAATATGATATCTGATGAAGACATTTACTTGTCCATTGAGAAAGAAAGTGACGCTGCGCGCAGCACCAGAGTCTGTGTGCTTCTTAAGGGTAAACACACTTCACACACATTATCAAAATCTTATCTCACCGTGTTCAGGACATGATGGGTGTAGAAAGATGGTAAAAGCACAGCTAATTGTGACAAACGTAGCAGGATTGTAAAAGGATGGTGTCTTTTAAGGAGTTTAAACATTATGGTCAGTACGGTTGGGGGAAGATAGCATCAGTTCAGTCTCATACGGAGAGTGTAGTGTTCACGTGTAGTTCGAAAAGACTGGTCAGAAATGCATGAGCCTGTGGACAGCATTTAAGACGTGCAGGAAAGTCTATGGTGTCCTCCATCATAAGATAAACAAAGGCGGGCATGAGCTGTGTTGTTTTTGGAGACACTGAACCACATTTTTTTTATACACTCAACAAAAATATAAACGCAACACCTTTGTTTCTGCTCCAGTTTTTCATGAGATGGACTTAAAGATCTAAAATTCATTCCAGATACACAGTATTACCATTTCTCTCGAACAATGTTCACAAATCAGTCTAAATGTGATAGTGAGCACTTCTGCTTTGCTGAGATAATCCATCCCACCTCACAGGTGTGCCACATCAGGATGCTGATCTGACATCATGAGTAGTGCACAGGTGTACCTTATACTGCCCACAATAAAAGGCCACCCTGGAATGTGCAGTTTTGTCTCACAGCAAAATGCCACAGGTGCCACCAGCATTGAGGGAGCATGCAATTGGCATGCTGACAGCAGGGATGTCAACCAGATCTGTTGCTCGTGCATTGATTGTTCATTTCTCCACCATAAGCCGTCTCCAAAGGCGTTTCAGAGAATATGGCAGTACATCCAACCAGCCTCACAACCGCAGACGACGTGCAATCACACCAGCCCAGGACCTCCACATCCAGCAGGTTCACCTCCAAGATCGTCTGAGACCAGCCACTCAGACAGCTGATGAAACAATTGGTTTGCATAACCAAACTATTTCTGCACAAACTGTCAGAAACCGTCTCAGGGAAGCTCAACTGCATGCTCGTCGTCCTCATCGGGGTCTTGACCTGACTCCAGCTCGTTGCCGTAACAGACTTGAGTGGGCAAATGCTCACATTCGATGGCGTCTGGCACGTTGGAGGTGTTCTCTTCACGGATGAATCTCTGTTTACATTGTTCAGGGCAGATGGCAGACTGCATGTGTGGCGTTGTGTGGGTGAGCGCTTTGCTGATGTCAATGTTGTTGATCGAGTGGCTCGTGGTGGTGGTGGGGTTATGGTATGGACAGGCATCTGTTATGGACGAAGAACACAGGTGCATTTTATTGATGGCATTTTGAATGCACAGAGATACCGTGATGAGATCCTGAGGCCCATTATTGTGCCATACATCCATGAACATTACCTCGCGGTCGGCAACAAGATGGCGCCTGTGCTTGGCTTAGCCGCAGTCACCGGCCACTTTTTCAAACTTTTCTCCACTAAGCTCCTCTTTTCCACCTTGCTCCTGTCTGCGATCCTCTTCAGTAGTGTCCCTGTTACCATCTCCTATGATCGCCAGACTCTTTTGACCTTCCGTTCGTTCACGATCGCCCAAGATGCACCGAGGATGTACCATCCTGTTTGTTTACCTGAGTGGCGCACTGGCCCGGAACCAAACGACGATCCAGAGCTGCGCGCCTCTAGCGATGTTTGTCCGGTCCCGGGAAAATGTTGGAGGAAAAGAGGTAAACGAGCAGGAATCCAGGTGAGAATAAGACTTCTTTTAAAGCATGGTTTATCTGGTCGCGATCGGCGCGATCTTCTAACTTCTTGTCCTTTGTTTGGTGACCTGAGCGCCACTTCCGCATTCCCGCCAGGCTGCGTTGCGACGCGGTTCATCCATCCAAGTTTTTTAAGGTCGGTTTATCCTCATTCCTCAGTGGTTTCTCCTCCTGTTCCCTCCATAAGTGGTTTTTATAAACACCGTGGATCTAACCCTGCTAATTTACATCCACTAACTCCAGCTGTTTCTGTAGTTTCTGATTCCTCCACCTCACTCAGCATGGCTCTATTAAATACCTGCTCTGTTAACAATAAGACCTTCCTGCTCAATGATCTAATTCACTCTAAAAACCTGGATTTTCTGTTTCTGGCTGAAGTTTGGCAGCAAACATCTGATTAT